CCTGCTCTGCTGAGGGATCTCAAAAATTATTTGTGACGGAATACATTAAGGATAAATAATAGTGATAAGAACAGCTATTATGCCTAATTATGGTCTGATAGTCCTCAATAAACATTTAGTAAAATATGTATTTCTTGTTACATTCTACCATTTGGACTATAAACACAGAGTAGCGTGCACAATTATCTTACCCTTAAACAAATTAGCATTCAACTTGGCATATGGTCATATTGCAACATAAATAACATACAGGACAAGTTATGCATCCTTTCATGACCTGTTATTTTCCATTATTTTTATTGTATTAAGTTCTTTGAGATATTAAAAAATATTGTACCATTCCTCAAGGAATTTGTCACTTGAGGAGTCAAGATAGATACACATAAAGAATCATGGTTTACAACATATAGAAAATACAATAAAAAGTCAAATCATGCTATAAAGACTCAAAAACCAAGCTCACCGACATCCAGAGCATTCTCATTCATTAAACCAAAAACTCACTGCCATCGAGTCGATACCCTTACAGGACAGGGTAGAATGGTCCCTTGAGTTTCCAAGACTGTAACTATTTATACATCAATGCTAACTTCCTGATTGTAGTGGTTGTATTGTGATTATGAATGAGAATTTTCTTTCTTCTAGAAATTGCAGAGATGAGGCATGATAATGTCAGCTTACTCAAGAAAACTATGCTGCGCATTCACTAATTTTTTTCTGAAAATATGCCGTTGTTCCCCAATATTTTCAGTATAAAACAAATGTAGTTGAGAATTTCCTCTGTAGTCTATAGCAGGTTAGATGAAAAGATCACACGGTAGCCCAATCTCTTCCTCTACCACTCAACATGCATAGTCAAGTGAGGATAAGGTGATTGAAATGGAGCCCTCAAACCCAGGGGTTGATGAATTTTCTCTGCAAAGGGTCAGATACAAAATATTCTAGAATTTAGGGGTCATGTATTGTTACAATGACTCAACTCTGCCATTGTACTGCAAAAGCAGTCGTGAGACACACATACTGTGGCAACATTCCTACAAAACTTTCCTAGACCCTGCTATTTGAATGTCACATAATTTTCAAGGATCACAAAAACGCATCCTCAGTGTGTGAGTTGTATAAAATGGATGGACTTGACTATGAGCCTTAATTTGCCCTTCCCTCAGATTTTCAAGTGGGCGTGAGACAGGGTCGCATCATTAAACAGACTATTAGTCTCCTTTGCCATAAGACTAGAACGGGATGACGCCTGGCTCCCATTACTGAACATTTTCACCGAAGGTGTTGTACAAGAATCCTGATCCAGATGGGGGAAATAAAGAAGAGAATTCCAAATTCTCGCGGAATCCAGGCTGGGTGAACCCTCAAAACTATTGCTCTGAACTTAAACCAAAAATATCCACTGAAATCTTACAGCCAATCATCAGTTTAGCTGACATAGGAAAGAATGTCTGCCTTGAGCATCATGCTCTTTTGAAATCTATATGAGATCAAATTGACAACGGCAATTCACAAGATTGCCTGGAAACCTTCGGAAGCAGTGAGTCCATGTTAATGGAACTGGAACAACTCAGAAAGGCGAGTGAGAATGGTTGAACACTGTGAAGAATGTCATTGAGATCGCTGAAGTACACACGTAGAAACTTGGATTGGTGTGTTTTTGCTGTGTGTATTTGGTCGCAATAAAGTATTTTTAAAACTCTTTAACTATGGGGAGGGAGGGGGAAAATGAGGAGCTGATGCCAGGGGCTTGGGTGGAGAGCAAATGTTTTGAGAAGGATGAGGGCAATGAATGTACAAATGTGCTTTACACAACTGATGGATGTATGGACTGTGATATGAGTTGTATGAGCCCCTAATAAAACGATTAAAAAACATCCTTTAACTATGACTTCATATTACGACTTCAAGGGGACTGGAGCATCTAAAGCATAGACTACGTATATAAGACACAGGTAATTACTTAAAGAGGGACTAGACCCTATTACATTACCCTTCTAGGCCCTTGGTTATCCACTCTTCACTTATCACATGGCATGTAACTCCTCACCCACAAATTCAAACTCTCATGAGGGCTTGGAATCAGTGCAGCTCATTTCGGATTGAAAAAAATAAGTGACTTGTGTCAAAGTATCAACTGACAAAAACAGTCTGCTTACCTTGATACAGGGAAGGGATTTGAAGAATTTCTAAAGTATTTAGCAGGAGTGCATTAAAGGGCTAGAGGCAATAACACGCAATTATAGTATTTCAGAGGCTGATACTTTAGGATAATTTCAAGGATGAACCAAACCAAATTTTGAGCTCGCTCCCATCGAGTTGATTCCAACCCCTGGTGAGACTGTAGAACAGGTGGAACTGCCCCCGTGGGTCTCTGAGACTGCAACTCCTTGAGGGAGCAGAAAGCCTCGACTTTCTCCCTTGGAGCCGTTGGGGGTTTTGCTGTACAACCACTACGATGCCAGGGGCTCCTCTCAGGCAGGGCAGTCGAGCCTAAAACAATACGCGTCTGAGAGAGAGCAAGGACAGAATGCAAAGACTCCCTAATTGTATACAGTTAGCTGAGGGTTTGAGTCTCAGGAATGATAGTTTTAAAACTAAAATGAGAGGATTTGTGAGGGGGCATTGGTGCAGGGCTCCAATTTCAAAAGTTTGAAAAAGTGAATTTGTGAGGATGCGTTCTAAGACATTTGGTTATTTAACAATTTTAAATCCACCTAAAATAAGATTCCGAGTTCCCTTTTAAAGAGTCATTGAGACAGTCACTTGAGTCAGTATTTTATTTTTTCCCAATCTTTTAGAGATCAACTGAAGACAAATTTGACATATAATCAGAAGATATATATGTATACAAAGTACACTTTGGTCTTGTTACTCATGAAATGTGTACACAGAAAGGCCACCATGACTATATACACAGAGTGAGCTTTCAACAAGTTATGTTTTCATAGACTCAGAGTTTTCCCAAGAGAAACCCATTCTCACAGTTATCTCGTAGGCAAGTATTGTCCTAGTGTCTCCTCCTACCTTTTCACGAAACCTGCGACTGCCCTCCGGGGCAATGAGAAAGAAAAGACAAGTTGAAAACAGCGGCCCTTGTGGCAGAGACTAACGGGTGCCAGGGAAGGGAAGGCACCACGCCAGGGACGCTTAAAGACGCTTCCAGAGAAACCCCACAGACCACACGTTACCAAACACCGGTTGACAATGATTTATTAAGGTCCAATTCGAATATATACTGTTCATTTCAACGTCCATATATGTGCATGAGTAAAAATCCAAGTTCATGCATTCCCTTCCAGTATAGAAGGTGCTCTACACGCTATGAAGTATGTGCAAATACCTTTGTGTTACCTGGTGAGGAGGGACTCCCTCCCTGATGCGCTGTGGGCCCTTTACCAGTCTGCTCATGGCACGAAGGCTGACTGTGCGCCAACTTTCTCCTTCCCGAGCCGTCATTCTTCTTCCAGCCATCCTTCTCTGAAACGTACTCTGCCTTCCCATACTTGCCTCGTCAGGGGTTCCTTACTCCTGCGAACTTTATTCGCTCACTAGGCGATGTGGACAACGCACGAAACAGGCACCAGGTAATCTGGAGATTCCCTGGAGAATACATACTCCCCAAGCTATTGAATATAATCGTCCTTTATTCACTTGGCACAACTGGTTCCTCTGCATTTGCTTCCGTTCTGCTTTACAGTTGTGGCTACCAAGAACTGGATCATCAGTCTTTCCAGCAACCCTCGGAGATCCTGGACAGGATCGTTGGGGTGCCCTGGTTACTTGTACTGGTTGACTGAGCCTAGTCCATCTTCTTGTATAAAGCAGCTACTCTCAAAGTAGCCACTGCCTTTCTGTTGTAAAAAGGGACTATACCTGGCTTTCCCTCACAATCGCCATGCATGCAGTGCAAAAGCTGGAAACCCCTTTTCATGAAAGGTAAAACCAGAAAGCAACATTTCACATTGAAAACAAGAAACAAAATCCTTCATGGTATGATGTCCTAAGTAAGCAATCAATTATATGGACAACATTTTATACATACAAAATGTTTGAAACACCATTTATAATAGTGGAATGGTTAAATAAACTGACTGGCAACGATTAAATGGAAGAGTACAGAGGGATTAAAATGACATTCTGTAAAAGTTTTCATGCCAGAGGGAAATACGGTAGTGCTGGGCTCGCAAACACTGGTTACAAAGCGGTTCAGAGTACAATCCCAATGATGTAAGAAAGGATATAATCATATATACAAACTTCAAAATCCCAATATCATACCCACTGCTACCCACTGCTCCAATTCATAGTGGCCTCTAATCCAGGGTTCCTGAGGCTGTAAATCTGTACAGGAGCAGATAACCTCCTCTTTCTCCCATAGAGTACCTGGTGGGTTTGAACCACTGGCCTTGTAGTTAGTAGTCCAACACTTACTCAACAATTCCATCAGGGTTCCTTACATATACACATAGAGAGGAGGAACAGTTATTAATGGTAGCTCTTTCTGGGTTGTGAGGTTATTATTAATTTTTCTTTTATATCTCTAAATAGATGTAAATTTTCTACAAGGAATATGTATGATTCTATAATCTAAAAATAGACAGGCTACTAAAATTGCATCTGTCATTAGAATGCTCATAAATGCACATGGAAACAATACTGCTTGGTCTTCACCTTGAAATGACTGTAGAGTACATGTTCTTTTGGTGACAATTGGTAGAGACTGATACAACACTGTAATAACAAAGTAGTAATGGGACTAGAGCACTGTTTGTTTCATAACCTTGACAAGTATTGGTATTGACATCTAGGTTCTTCTATTTTCTACAAGATTTTACAATTCATATACTTTTATCTCTTTAAGGCATACAGCATACACATACTCTATGCAACGCTTTAAGATTTATTCTAATTTACCATTTTTCTACATAAGGAAAAACAAAGTTATGGCAGATAAAAGAGAAAGGCTACATATAGTCTTGTTCATCACAAGCATGCTGATAGGTACAAACATGTTTATTAAATGAAATGTATCCTTTGGTAATAAAAGCAGGGGACCTGTATGTAAATGAAGTTGGAGATTCACAAAGTCAGACTCTTTCCTGACTGGCACCAAAGCACACAAACCCTTGTAAAGTCCAGTTAGGTAACCTACATGGACACTCCGCAGGCATGTATGAATCCCATGACAAGGGTCCCATTTCTGACTCTCAAAAGGAATGGGGATTAGGATGAGGGTCGTCACAGAAACTAGTTTATGGAAAGTCTTGTGGGGTCTAGGAACAAATACTGTCGTTGGTTAGTGTTTACGTACACGAGTTCATTTTCTTCCTCTCTCGGTGCCCCACCCCTTGCCTTCGCACTTTGGAGGCAAGGCTGTTCATGATCACGTTCAATGCATGGCGGCTAGCTTGGCATCTCGGGTTCCTTTTCTAAACCACAGAGTGGTCATTGCTGTGAACTCCAGCCAAGATCGTGTGGTTGAGGGAGGAAGCTGAGCGGTCGGAGCCTTCCGTGGGGCCGCTGGTGTTCTCACTGCGCTGGCAGCAGAGGATCTGCCGGAAGGTGGTGCTCATCTCCTTGTCTCGGTAGGAGTAGATGATGGGGTTCATGGCCGAGTTGAATTCCGCAAGGAGAAGGAAAAACTTCTCATAGGCCAGAACATTGCACTGTGGACAGCACACGTCCAGCAGTAACAAGACCAGTCCGGGGGTCCAGCAGACGATAAAGGCCCCTACGGTGACACCCGGGCATCAGCAGGATTCAAGGAGAGAGAGAGAAAAACAAGAAAAGAGGAAAACTTTACTAGGAAGCATGTGACCATAAGACTTTCAGGTAGTGATCCAAATATTAAGATGCTGAGATTCAAAGCTACTAATCATTTCGAATCAAACGTTCATTTCCTGAAATCATCAGAAAAAGGTTTTGGTAAAATGTCATGAGTTCAGGTCCTACAAAATATGTAGGAGGTATGGATGTTGATTATTTTGGGCAAAACACGAAGCAATTGAAAAGCAATGGGCACATGCAGACCTGCTCAGGAGACACCTTTCCACTGATAGACAGGGTTTATACTGCCATACGACTGTTCCCGGGGAAAATATAAGCATGAACGGCAAATGCTCTTGAACTTTAGGGACAACTCATGTTCCTGACTTCAGGTGGCCTGGACGGAAATCCTTGCTAGGCCATTTAGTAACTTTGTTGAAGTTAGGTAAATTGTTTCTCCTACCTCAGTTTTTCTAATCTGAAATATATAGATGGCAATATTTACCTCGTCAACTTTGTTATAAGATTACGTGCTAATAACCACTCAGTCTATAATAGCAACACTGTTATTATCTGCTCAGTAGCACAGGGGTAGTAAGAAATAGCAATTTCAAATGATGACACGTCATATGTTTGTTTTTATTCTTATTCAACAATTAATAACAGCAGTGATTTTCTCTGTGCTTTACAATTATCTTACCTAATCTCCACCCTAGCTGTATGAGGTAGAAACCATTATCCCCATCATAAATATGAAGGCCATGAGACCTAGAGAAAGGTCAAGTAACTTGCTTAGACCCCCAGTACTGGAAAATGGCAGGCAGGAGGTCAGTCCTTGAGGTTCTGGTCTTAGAGCCTGAGGCCGGCTCTACTGTTCACATTCCGGAAAATACAACCTTAGAGTTCTACTTTAAGAAAGTTACATATCTGTTACGGTAGTTACATAATCTGGTGTCAATTTGAGGATTAAGAGTGAAGGGGTGGAGTCTAGCCTGTCAATCAGGATATAGCCAATGAGGCCTTTGCATGGGCATGGCCTTCTCCTGAGGATTCTGGGAACTCCCGTATTTTCCACCTTGGAGGCAAGAGACTCTCTCTACTCACTCCCTGCGAGACATCCCTGTGGAGAAGGCACACGGAGAGAGGCTGTTGGAGCTAGCCCTCTGGAGCTGTAGAAGCCGTGTGGGGAGCCCTGCCAGCGCTGAGATGCTCACAAGACCACTGGATCCACAAGACTTCCCACCGACTGGCCTGTGATCTTCCTGCATTCGGCGTCATTGTATGTGTTTCGTGAGTCTGAAGAGGACTTTATAGATTGGTATCGGACATATGGGCTAATATTGGACTTATGGACTTGGTCTGGACTGGGCTGGGATGTTTTCTCAATCTTCCATTGCTTTTGCCTATAAATCTCTTCCTCATACACATATGAGTGTCTATGAGCTTGTTTCTCTCGTCAACCCGGACTAACACAGTATCTTAAACCAAATGCTAGGCTTTAGCTGTTTCTCTAATTGTCTTCTGCTTGGTTTGCTTTCTTCTTCCAACTCTTCTAAATCAGGGAGGGTTTACTCTAGCTGCAAAGATGGGATTACAAATGAGATTCTCAATTCCATTTTATTTAGTCTTCAAAATCACTTCCCTTTGGGCTCCTTATGAAATCACATCACAACTCATTTCTGTATGACCCCAGCATTTTCTAGGCTTCTTTAATTGAAAGGGCATGAGCCAGTAGGACCCAGGAGGCTCCATCATTTCCTATTCCATAACACCTAATGGGTACCATGTGTGTGATCAGGCTTCACAGTAACCAAGAGGGAAAGAGAGATGCTCCCAGCATGCTGCTGGCATCTTTGGATTTAAATGGAGGCTACTGTAGGTGGACATAAGCTTGACCTGGTCCCTTGGCTTTGGACTAACCCCAAGGCATGAGTTTCCCAAAATGAAAGCAAATGAATTCAGCCTCCAAACAGCCCAGTTTTGAATGAGAACTTGCTTTTTAGTTTTTGAACTTTTTTAGCAGGGCAATGAAAAGAACGAATGGAGAAAAGTATCACCAGAAAGCTCTTTCTTCTACAACATGAACGTGTACTGGTTTTAACCTGCTGTTCACTTTGAAGAAAGCCCACGGTGCTTCATTCCCTAATAGATACAATACCTTAAACTTCAATTAGAGAGGAAAAAACTTTTTCAAATATCAGGAGATAATAGCCAAGAAATGACTTGAACTTCAAGTGAAAATGTTAATAAAGTATTCAGTCCAAGTCCTTGAATTTCCTTGCTTGAAAATCACTCAGAAAGCTAAACATAAAGGAAAGTCAAAGGAATGCCTCTTGGGTTTCAGAAATAATGCATTACTCACTGAGAAGCCAGGAAGGGAATTATTCTCTCGGGGTGGAAAATGCCTGGATGGAAAATGCCTGGTCCCATCACTCCATTTACTTGGAAACGAAAAACACACAGGCCCTTCATGAATGGGAGAACATTCTTTCACGTTTCCTTTTCTTTCTTTTATCAAAGCTCCAATTGAGTTCCAATTCAGAGCTTGAGAAGATGGCAGCGATGTGCAGCCCAGTAGACTAATTTGAAATAAAACGAGGCTTTTCTCCCTCAGGAGACAGAAAGCCAACATTCTTACTTTCACATATGATTTGGTTGTCTTTGTTAAAAAACGACAGGAGTGAAATACATGCAGTTATCCGTTCCTTAAAGATCATTGTTGCCGAGTCAATTTTGACTCATAGCAATCCTATATGACAAGATTATGATTGTTGCACAAGGTCGCCAAAGCTGTACTGCTTATGGGAGCAGACGGCCACCTCTTCCTCCACTGAAGTGGCTAGTGGGTTTGAACCTCTAACCTTTCTGTTAGTAGAGTAGTGCATTCACCACTGTACCACTCAGACTCTGACTCACAGCGCCGGCCCTAGAGAACAGAGTAGAACTGTCCCTGTGGGTTTCTGAAACTCTAACTCTTTTTGAGAGTAGAAAGCATCATCATTCTCCCTCAGAGCCACTGGTGGTTTCGAACTGTCGACCTTATGGTTAGCAGCCCAACAAAGACTGCCACGATTGTACCACACTGCTCCTTATTTGCTGTCTATAGTTACTTCTAGTTTAAAATTCAAAATGGGGCAAAGTCTTTCCAAACAGAATCCGGGTCTTACAAACTGGTCTAGCAAGCCCAGGGCCCCTGCTGGGTTAGAGACTGAAGTGGGAAACCCCCAGGGCCTGGCATGCAAATTAATACATGTGAACTCATCCACTCGCGAACTTGGAAGTCTTCTCCTTTCTTTACTGAAAGAAACTAGCTTTCAGTCCTGTGACTGGAGCCACGGCACCAACACAACACTGTGCGTAGAGTCTCAGCCCTCCATTGAAGTCACACCAGAAAGTCATGGTACAGGACTCAGAAAATCCACATCTAAACCCAGTCACATGAGGGGCTTCAAAAGGGTCGAGGGAAAATTCCATTTTCTTTCAGTATAACTTTTTACAAACTTTTGAATTCCCTTTCTATGGAATCTTTTCCACTTCTTCTTCCCCTTCTACAGAGATCTCAAAGATTACATCGGCCAAAGATGAAAAAGCACTGAAGAAATAGAGAATGGGGCCTGCAAAATCCCAAGGAAGTAATTAGGCTTCTAATCAACTTTGAATGTACATTCTGAAGTTCCTTGCTCAAATTATGAATTTTTCCCTTTCTTCTAAAAATAGAAAACATGCCATACTCAAGCCCCTAACTAATCATTAGGCAATCCTAACTCAATCAGATTGGTAGAATCCAAGACATGTATCAGAGACCCGATCAACACCTAATCAGTACAGAGCCAAGTGCCTACACGCAATCGGGTTAATAAGAATGTAAGGAGCTCCCATGTTAGCATCGGTGCATTAACGAGGTGAGCGGTTTCCTGTCTAATTCATATAGTGTGTTGAGGATAAAGCTGAGTGAGTTCCTTGCATTACCAAGCATGATGTCCTTCTCTAGGGATTGGTCTTTCCTGACAACCTGTCTAAAGTTTGTGACAGGAAGTCTCGCCATCCTTTCCAATTTAAGGCGTATTCGCTGGCTGTACTTCTTCCAAGACAGAGGTGTTGGTTCTGTTCGCAGCCCATAGTGCACCATGCTTGGTAAAGCAGGGGCCCATGACATGGGCTGAAGGGTGGCTGCAACAATGGGCTCAAACATAAGAGCAATTGCGAGGGTGGCACAAGACTGGGGACCGTTCCGTTCTGTTGGCCATCGGGCCACTGTCTGAACCGACTCAAAGAACGACTAACTCCACGGTACCTAAAACGACGTACGTACAACGCACATACAGAAGAAGCTGCGCTTCCCCAGCACACTTCACTCCCTTGTACATCTGTCAGATCACTCTGTGAGGGCTTCCTTGCCGACAAAGAGGGAGGGAGACTGCTGGAATGTAGACTCAGAAGACGGGGAGGAAGGAGGCAGTTTGGGACCAACAGGTCACAGCTGCAGAACAAGATCATATTACCACACCTTCCCTCAAATCTAACACAACTTCATCAGCTGAATAATGCTTACCATCTGGGCTCACAATTAGAGTCTTTTTTTCTAGAGTGATTTCTTCCAAACTCTGCCTACATATGGAACCTAAGAACCAAAGCTACCAGGAAAAAAAACGTTCTCGACAGAGAAGACCTCTAGGGAGAGAGCTCAAGATTTTTGATGAAAAAAATCAGAGTTTTTTTCCAGTCTGGCTGGGAAATGCGTGTTTTTACAAAAATCAGACACCCCACAGATTAAAAACAAATCAAGATAAACCAATCTGCACTAGGCTGTGCCCAAATTACCCTCTCCTGAGCTCATTTTTCTCATGGGGTCTCAGAACAGTCTTCCCTAGCTCCGAGGCTTGTGATGGTAATGAAATAATAATAATAAAAGTTTCTAATGCCATTAAATGATGTGTTCTTTTCAGGGAAGGTCTGTTGCTATCC